CCATATAATAAAATAAATTGATTGGAATATAAATATTGTACTTACATTTCAGTGTATAGTATATAGAGCAGTATAAACAAGTCATTGTATGAAATTTTAGTTTGTACTGACTTCACTAGTGCGTTTTCTGTAGCCTGTTGTAAAACTAGGCAAATATCTAGATGAGTTGATGTACTCCCCTGGAAGACCTCTGCGTCCCCCCAGAGATGTATGTATCCCTGGTTGTGAACCACTGGTTTAAACTACTGCTTAAGTCAATGTAACTTACATTATGCAGGGGTGTGAAAAAGCCACCCTCCTCAGTGATGCAAGTTACATCGACCTAAGTGCTGTCCACACTAGGGCTACGTTGGCAGGAGACGCTCTCCCCCCAACATCGCCTCCGCCTCTTGCTGAGGTGGAGCTCTTCACCAGACGTATGACAGTGGTAGCGCAGTAGTGTAGACTAACCCTGATTTTAAAATGCAAAGCAAAGGGGACTGGATGATTCAGGGGATTGTTAATGGAATACAGAGACTTCCACCTCTGAGGGCCTGTTCTGTTGCCCATTAACGTAAATAGAAAGCCTCCTACAGCTTTGAATCAGTCCTAAGTCAACACTTGAAATCTAGCTTAAGTTGACATTGGCTAAAAGTCCTTACTATTTGTTGGTCTACGTACTATGAACTGGTGGCATTGCTGTAGCACCAAATGGACAAATTTCCACCAAAATCCACCAATACAACTGATGTTTCTTGGCACCGTTAATGCCGGTCTCAGCAGAGAGGCCTGGGATTCAATGGACATGGAGATGAGACAATTCTGTCAACTGCAGTGTTGGTCCCTCTTGGGGAATGTCTGCCCTTCAAGCTGGAGGTGTAAGTTTCAGCTCAAGGAGACACACCTGCCCTAGCTCTGATCAAGCTAGTATGCTAAGGGTAGAAGGTAGCTGCCCCGAGTATGTGCCTAGCATCGAAGATGGGTACATACGCAGGGAAGCTAGCCCCTACTGCCACCACAGCTACACTCTTTAGTGCGCCAGCTCAATCAGAGCTACTGCGATTACATCTCCTCAAGCTAGGGTGACCAGACAGCAAGTGTGAAAAATCGGGACAAGGGGTGAGGGGTAATAGGAGCCTATATAAGAAAAAGACCTCAAAATCGTGACTGTCCCTATAAAATCGGGACATCTGGTCACCCTACCTCAAGCTGAAATTTAAACCTGCAGCGTGAAGTATAGCTATGCCACTGCTGCCATCACATAAGTAATGAGAAACCTGTACAATAAGTCTAATATGCAGGGACTTGAACTAAAGTCCACAAAAGCAACTGGGACAGGAGTCTTTCTATTGATTCAATGGGCCTTGCGTCTCTCTATCCAATGTGAGATCTAGGTCACTGGGTAGAGAGAAGCAACTTCTAAATACAGTGTCACAAACACAATTGACTTTCTTTCTAGTTCCACATGCTATTGCCTGTGGAATTCCACTCCCCATCCCATTTGGTTCAATTCAGCGTTAAATCCAATACATTCAGGCATCTGCCTGGGTTAGGTCTTCACACTAGAAATAGGTTTCTATACAAAATATGCCGTTGGTATGATTGTTCATTTCTAAAACAGTGGCAGGTTGGCCCATAACGAGAGGCTAGTACTGCCATCTCCTTCGCTTCTCCCAAAATTATGCTCAGTCCTTCTTTGTTTTTTAAATGGGAGAGGGTTTTATTTATCAGCATTCATTCATATTTTAAACATTGGAATAGAAATTGTTTCTCACTTTCAGTCTTTCCTCTGCCTTACTGATTATAAAGTCCTTGCTCTCTGTGTTTTCAGGGAATCTTGCCTCTCCCAGTTTCTATTTTCAGGTTATGATTGCTAAGGGTCTGATCCAAAGTTCATGGAAGTCAATGGGAATTTTTCCATTGATCTCAGTGGGGTTTTGTTTCAAGCACTAACTCCATATGTGGGGAAGGTCTGCCTGACTTTTGTGTCTTGCACTGTAGAATGATATTTTGTTGAAGGAATCAACAGTACATCAGCTTCTTGGTTTTGATCTGCCCTTCCAGAATGCTGTGCATTTTATTTTTAAGGGTTTGATTTAAGGGAATTTTGAGCGTTACTTGTTTTTCAGTAGGATAGTTTGTATCGTGGATCTTAGTGTCAATGTTTTTTGGGTCTCAGAGCAAAGCTGCATAGGAGTGAAGCGTATAACAAATTTCAGGTGTGGGTCTTTTAGTGCTATATGATGAAGGGAGTGGGTGGTGCTGTAAACTGAGATGGTAATAGAAACCATTTTAAATTGTTCGTTAATTAGAACATGGAATCCTTCTAGTTCTGCTCAGCATCCTTTGCTGGTAGAGTCCCAGAATGGCTTAGAAGCACAAGTCCTTTTGGTTTTTCTCTTGTCTCTGTGCATTTTCCTAATGGCACTTTTGCTCCTAAGTCTCTTGGACACTTTTGAAAAAAATCCCACTCCCTCTGAATGTGTAGTACTTGTTTGCAGAAATTCATGCTGTTTCTCCTAGGGCTTTGTCCTTTTTGGTACAATCTGCAGCTAATCCTCAGACTTCTCTTGTATAACAGAATGAATTGAATTATACTATTGAATAATTTTAGTGGTGTTTTTATCAATGGGTTGCATTTATCTCGTGGCTTCTTTATGGTGTAGAAGGCTCACAGAGCTTTTCCTTATACAGTAATACTTCTACAGCCAATTACAATACAGTAATTCATTTTATGCAGTAAGCTAGAGCTTGCATCTCAGTATAGATTTGCTCCACACATAAAGAACCTATATAATAGCACCAGTTGGAAAGAAGCCTATCGTTACAGCTTGTTATCTCTGAGAGTTTTCTCTCTAGCCTCAATGAGAAATTAGGAAAGAAGCTGTCATTAGCCACTATAGCTTTATCTGCAAATTCAACAGAGTCCAAGCGACGGAAAAAGGTTGTCTGTCCTTTCTCAAGCTTTGTGAGCTTTTCCACTGCATAAATAGCCTAAACTTTAAGGGATCATTTTTCAGTAAGAGAGAGAGCTTCCACTTCATCCCGACATGCGGGATATGGGATCCTAATTCCAGCTGGTATCAATAGCATAGTGATCATAAAACTTACCCAGTGTCTAAGAGAGATGAAAGTCTATCCACCAGTGAGAGTCTGGTTACTGCACATTACTTCTTCCAGGGGTGTACTCTTTCTGGGTATCATTGGGAACAAAGGCTTCCACATCAGAGACACCTTTATGGCTGCATAAAAACAACAGCTGCCTAAGAGGATGTGATACTCACAGCTGCAAGTCTCGTGTGGGCTTATTGGTCTCCCATCTGCTTCTTTCAGGTCAAGAGTGCCTCTGGCTACTGGTACTAACTATGCACTTACGTTTTTAAGCGCACACAGAAGCAGACTCCTAGGCCACTGGCTCCTCCTATTTGCATGTCAGTCAATGATGCTGATAACCTTTCAGCCTATGAAATCAACCAGAAGAGTATATGCTTCTGTTGACATCTTCATTTTTAATGGAAAAGAATCTTTGCATTCTGACTTCAGACTGGGTCTTGTGAACAAGCAACGTCCTCACCCCATTCTAGCACAGAAGAAACACACACTGGGTTAGAACTTGATTCTGCAGACACTTACGCACCTGCTTAACTTTAAGCATAAAGCGAGTGAGCTCGGTGCAACTCAAAATCTTCTCTGTCTCACCAACAGAGGTTGGTCCAATAAAAGATATTACCTTACCCACCTTGTCTCTTTCATATCCTGGGACCAACATGTCTACAACAACACGGCATATAACTAAGCATGTGAGCAGTGGACTACTACTCTCACTTCCCAGAGTGGACTTAATGAGCTGAATTTTCCACCATGAGTCAGGAGCAATCAGTATTTTCAAACAGTCCCAATACATGCTAGGAGGGTGAGTTAACAGAACAACTATGCCTGCCTAGTCTACCTTGAGGCAACAAGAACTCTCTAGCCAGCCTCATCTCTCAGATCTATTGAGAGGAGCTTTCCCGTTGGACAAACTTTGGAAAAGAAGATCCTAAATATGAAAATTGATAAAGATGGTAAGTCAGACTCAGTCCTGGTGTAAGCAGATGCAGCTTCCAGTGACATCAGCTGGAGTTGTACTGGCTTACACTAGGACTGAATTTGGCCCTGTATTTCTAAGAAACCAGCCCTGTCCCTGCCCTTGAACGCATTTCCTTAATTCCGACTGATGACTGTGTTTCAGTTTTGATCCATGCGCCAGACAATGCAATGCAAGCCCGCTGCCTTACAAGCCTAACAAGGACTTTTATTGACTTGGATCCTCCTGCCTAGATGATGCACGGCCACCAATGAACAAAGAGGAAAAGGTCTCAGCTTCTCTCCTCACCATAGCAACCAAACACCTTATGCACCAAACACTTTTCTGTTTCATAAGCTGGTTGCCATGGCAAATTACTTATGTCAGAGGGGAACAGGAAGCATTCTGTGTTCTCTAAAGAAAACAAAACAAATGCTTAAACTTTATTTCTTATTAGTTCAATTTTGCCATGCTGCAAGTGACCCCTAAGCTCTGAGGAGACCCACGTCAGTGAAGTGGCCACAGTCTTCTAAATGTGTTAAAGGTACCCATGATTACTAAAGTGCATCTGCAGGAGAGTTGGATTCAGGGAGCCTAAGTTATCTGGGAAGAATATCAGCAAAATGATATTGGGGAGTCTGGCATTTTCACCAGGGAGACCAGTTTGCTCAGTATCCTTTGGAGGAGGAAGTTCTGAAACCATGCAAGGCAAGAATCTGCACTGACATTCAGAACATAACGTAAGAATGGCCATACTGGGTCAGACCAAAGGTCCATCCAACCCAGTATCCTGTTTTCCAACAGTGGCCAATGCCAGGTGCCCCAGAGGGAATGAATAGGTAATCATCAAGTGATCCATTCCCTCTCGCCCATTCCTAGCGACATTCTCCACTCCCTCCCACCCCCACAGATGCCCCAGGGAAGCCCTGATTTCAATTACACAGAAGATGCCTATGTACACTATGAGAAGGGACCAAATGAATGTGTGGTAAGAAAAGGATGGAACCACGGAAATGAGCAGCAATGTTCTGCTACCTAAAACAACCCAGGCTAAGCAAAGTTAGCCATGATGACCCACAGTGCACCTCAACCTTAATGTTCCTAGAAGACAGTAAAGGATTCAGTCCAGCTACTTGCAATCTAGATGCAACTGGGATCAATAATTCTCGTCAGTGTCCACGACAGGGGGCCAGGTTTTGATCTCCTTTACAACAGTGTAAAGTCAGCCTAACTCTATTAACTTCACTGGAGTTACTCTGGATTGACATTGGTGTAACCAAGGGCAAAATCTGGACACACTCACACTTACATCTCTTGGAATCTAGCAAGCTGTGGTGTTTGCTATGTCAGTGAGAAAGTTATCATGGAGAAACAACTTCTGTGATTAGCTGAAGGGCCGGGGCATGGGGGAAGGATAGTTCAGGCTTCAACTTGGCTGATTGCTGGATTTCTCTAGTGGAAATAGATAAATCAGAGGTACACCCTGCAGAATTATTTAGGATGATCTTCATCTATGATGGGACTTAAAGACCATTTTTTAAATTGTACCCTGTGTGAAGGTTTCTCGGACATAGGGTGGAAATCATGCCAAGCTACCTCAGGATACGTACATGCCTATTTAAGGCAGAGCATAGCTAAGGAATGACAGTTCTAATGATATATATTTTTTTAAGTTACTCTTAGTGCTAGTGAAGTGTAATCCCGTCGTCCCAAGACTAAACATCTGCTTGCCCAACATGCCACTCCTGGGTGGCACTACTGTCTGAGCTAGAAGACCCACTCCTTATTACAAGAGGCTGATATCTTCTATTTATCCAGAGAACACATACACCATGGGCAGCAAAATTGTAAACATCCGTACACTGCCTGACCAGAGTACCTCAGTACCAGTGGGACCGCTTGTAGGAGGGTGATTGCATACTCATTCTGTACTTTCCTTCTTTCTTGCCACTGGCATAACCAGCATCCATTTTGGCAGTTATGGTGGTTGCTTTGTAAAGTGAATAGTTATTGACGAGGAACAGGATTGAAGTCATCAAGGCAAAAAATTAACCATGAGATGGTAATGATTTTCACTGACTGTAGACCATCTCCAGGTGCAAGCCAGTGACCTAGAGATAATGAAAGAACAGCTATCACTGGTCTGCTGATACAGTCATTGTGCACTATACTGTGCAGTGAGACAACAGATTTGAATCTACACTGGCAAAATTCAGGACCTGTAATTCACCACCAGGGCTGCTCCACTGTTGGCAGCAACTTTCAAAGCTGTACATCAGACAGTGCACATGTGTTTTTACTAGGGTTGTCAAGTGATTAAAAAAGTTTAACAATGCGACTAATCGCACTGCTAAACAATAGTAGAATACCATTTATTTAAATATTTTTGGATGTTTTCTACATTTTCAAATATATTGATTTCAATTACAAACACAGAATATAAAGTGTACAGTGCTCACTTTGTTTATTTTTGATTACAAGTATTTGTACTGTAAAAAAAAAAGTGTTTTTTTCAATTCCCCTAATACAAGTATCGTAGTGCAATCTCTTTATCATGAAAGTTCTACATTTGTAAGTTTAATTATGTACAAAAAGACCCCTGCATTAAAAAAATAAAACAATGTAAAATTTGAGACCCTGCAAGTCCATTCAGTCCTACTTCTTGTTCAGCCAATCGCTCAGACAAACAAGTTTGTTTTCATTTGCAGGAGATAATGCTGCCCGCTTCTTGTTTACAACATCACCTGAAAGTGAGAACAGGCATTCACAGGGCACTGTTGTAGCCGGCGTCACAAGATATTTATGTGGTAGATGCACTAAAGATTCATATGTCCCTTCATGCTTCAACCACCATTCCAGGGGACACATGTCTCTGCCAATGACAGGTTCTGCTTGATAACAATCTAAAGCAGTGCAGACCAGTGCATGTTCATTTTCATTATCTGAGTCAGATGCCACCAGCAGAAGGTTGATTTTCTTTTTTGGTGGTTTGGGTTCTGTACTTCCCGCATCGGACTGTTGTGCTTTTAAGATTTCTGAAAGCATGTTCCACATCTCGTCCCTCTCAGATTTTGGAAGGCACTTCAGATTCTTAAACCTTGGGTCGAGTGCTGTAGCTATCTTTAGAAATCTCACATTGGCACCTTCTTTGCGTTTTGTCAAATCTGCAGCAAAAGTGTTTTTAAAATAAACTACATGTGCTGGGTCATCATCCGAGACTGCTATAACATGAAATATATGGCAGAATGTGGGTAAAACAGAGCAGGGGACATACGATTCTCTCCCAAGGAGTTCAGTCACAAATTTAATTAAACACATTATTTTTTTAACGAGCATCATCAGCATGGAAGGATGTCCTCTGGAATGGTGGCTGAAGCATGAAGGGGTATAAGACTGTTTAGCATATCTGGCACGTAAATATCTTGCAATGCCAGCTACAAAAGTGCCATACAAATGCCCATTCTCACTTTCTGGTGACATTGTAAATTAGAAGAGGGCAGCATTATCTCTTGTAAATGTAAACAAACTTGTTTGTCTTAGCGATTGGCTGAACAAGAAATAGGACTGAGTGGACTTGTAGGCTCTGAAGTTTGACATTGTTTTGTTTTTGAGTGCAGTTATGTAAAAAAAATCTACATTTATAAGTTTCACTTTCACAACAAAGATTGCACTGCAGTACTTGTATGAGGTGAATAGAAAAATACTATTTATTTTGTTTATCATTTTTACAGTGTAAATATTTGTAATAAAAAAATACACTTTAATTTCAATTACAACACAGAATACAATATATATGAAAAAGTAGAAAAACATCCAAACTATTTAATAAACTTCAATTGGTATTCTATTGCTTAACAGTGCAATTAAAACTGCGATTAATTTTTTTGAGTAAATCGCATGCGTTAACTGTGATTAATTGACAGCCTTAGTTTTTACCTCTGTCTCATGCAGCCATAATCTGAGCAGGGATAGACAGGACAACACTAAAAATGCCCAAGCTTCCACCAGCAGAACCGCACCACTAGTGAATTTTGCATTCCATTTCCCCTAGAATAGATGATGCCGTGCTACAGAGACTAGTGGAGCTGATATGTTACAAAGGAGACAGGCTTTCTTCTATGACTGTGGCAGAAGCAGTGACTACTTCCTCTTTACACTCTTGCTCTGGAATATTAATAAAATCAAGTGAATGCGAGGATGATAGAAGTCCTTGAGTTATACCTCCCTACTGCATACACAATCCCGACTGTGGTCAGGAAGGCAGACGAATGAAGGGGTAGACTTTGGTATTCTCTGTCCACAGTGCACGTTCTCTTTTCTTTGTGATCATGGGAGCATGCTGAAATGTTCCCCATTTCTCCCCCTTTATATTTTCTCATATCAGTAGGCCCCATGTCTGACCAGACTATCCTTCCAGTTGAGGAGGACAGCACTATACTTTATCTTCAGCTAGCCAGTGCCACTGCAGGTTTGGCTGGAAAGGTTTCTAGAGAGCTGCATACCCTGCCCTCCGCAGTCTAGGGCTCTTCCAGTGGGGTCGCTCATCAGCAAGAGCACCTCCTCTTGGCCAGACATGGTACAGCTGTCTCTTCAACTCTGGCCCCCTCTGTCAATAGTCCCTCCTAGCCTGTGGTGGTTTGCCCCTTCTTGCAACTCAGCCCTCCATCCAGGTACTTATAGTCTCTGTCCCTTTCAGAGTAGTAAGGAGTCCAACAAAGAAGAAGTCTAATGACCTTCTGCCAGGTTTTCAGCCCACCCTGGACTCAACAGTCCGTGTCCCCTTGCATCAGGGCAGCTTTTACATCTCTTTTCCAGGTAGCTGGTAGGGAGATCCTCCTGCAATCCTCTGGGTTCCAGCCCAGGCACCCTGTTTGAAGCAGCTTAGCCTGTTTCTTCAGACTCATTGCTGCTTCCCCAGGCCAGTGGTTTGAGCATTGGCCTCCTAAACTCAGGGTTGTGAGTTCAATCCTTGAGGGTGCTATTTAGGGAACTGGGGTAAAAATCTGTCTGGGGATTGGTCCTGTTTTGAGCAGGGGGTTGGACTAGATGACCTCCTGAGGTCCCTTCCAACCCTGATATTCTATGATCTGCCTCTCAGCCCCTTTCACAGAGAGATTCAGTCTAGTGCTTTGTCCCTGGAGGGTCCAGCTGCTTCCTGCCAGCTTACACTCAATGCAAAGCCATCCCCTTCTGCCTGGTCCATAAGCTTTTATCCTAGCTCTTGCTGGTCCACCAGTTAGCTGCAGCTGAGGAGGTATTTATTCTGTCTCTTAACCCCTTAATGGCTGTGGCAGGATAAGGTTTATATACCTCATCATAGTTCTACATAGAATGTGCAAACTGCATCAGATTGATGGCTGGTCAGGTTTCAGACCAGTTAATATTAGTGGACAGGTGTTCACATCATAGAAACTGCCATCAAGGCACCCTTGTTGGCAGTCTCACTGTGGCCAGCTCTACACTATTACTCCTGGGGGAATTCTGTGTCACTGCACGTGTGCAGAATTCATGGCCCCGCAGATTTCTTTGCTTATCCACAGAAAAATGACTTCTGACTGGGAAGTAAAGGGAAGCCACAAGAGCGGTTATATGCCCACTCCTTGGCAGTGCAGACAGGTCGGTTTGGGCATCCAGAGCAGCTGGTAGATACACAAATCACCACTTGGGGGGAGGGGAGGGCTGGGTAGTCATGTATATGAGAGAGACAGAGACACTCTGTCCCTCTTGCTAACTCTTGCAGCATGCACAGCGCAGGGTTTGGGTATTTCTGAAGAGGTAGGCATGGGGCAGGCTCTGTTACCTCAGGCAGAGGAGAATGTTGCAGCCTGCCTGCCTGCTTAATGAATTGTTCCCATTGTTCTTAATGAATTCCCCCAGGAGTATAAAATAGGTGTAAACATTTTAAGGCTCCATTACATTGCCAGAGTGGTGTAAAGGAGCTGTATTGTAAAGGACAGTATGGCCGCATAAATGCTTATGGTGCTTTAATGATTAAAACGGGTCTACATTTTGGACTGAAAAAATTTCCTATCGAAATGTGCTCCATTAACTGTTTGCTACTGACCTTTTTGGAGATGGTCAGTAGCCAGTATAAATTGTGAGTTTGAGTCCCCAGCCCTCACTTGCTCTTCAGGTACCTATGATGTAACATTGAGCATATGACTGCATGTATTTGTTGACTAATAACTAGACGTAAAGAGTCAATACTAGCTACATTACTATTAGACAGAGGGGGTTTGATGATTTCCTCCAATGCTCCCCATCCTATTCTCCATCCATTGTATTGTAGTTTAAATACATTACCAAAATAATTGAAACTAGCTGGATTATATTGCATCATTTAAAAAAAAATGCAGAATTTTAAAATATTGTGTTCAGAATTTTTAGGTTTTTTTGACACAAAATTCCCCCAGGAGTAACACTATAAACTTACATCCATATAACTATGTTGTGAAAAATCCACACCCCTGAGTGACAGTTATACTAACCTAACCCCTGCTGTAGACAGCGCTATGGTTCTCCCATCAACATAGCTACCGCCTCTTACAGAGGTGGATTAACTATGCCTATAGGAGAAGCATCTTCACTGAAGCACTGCTGGAGGGTTTTAAGCATACCTTTCCCTGTGAGTGGAGAAGCCCAGGAGTGTCCTAGCACAGGGACTGAAATACCCTAAGGGCACTATCTGGCAAAGCAGTGTGGGAGTTGCCCAGGTCCTTTATGTTCTGTGGCTAAACAAAAGACTCCATCCTCCAGAGTCATCAAATAGGCCAGCACCTTTCACCAGCATTAAATCCAAGTTAAAAGGAAGTGAGGGAGGCTGGCAACGCAGGATGCCTTGTTGCTGCGAATATAAAAGGCCAGATCTTCAGCTGGTGTAAATCAGCACAGCTCCACTGAAGTCAATGGAGCTAGGTTGCTTTACGGCTACTGAGAATATGGCCCTAAATGTCTGTTTTTATAAAAAAAAGAAAGAGAGAAGTGGGAGGAGACCAAGACTTATTAAACAAATGTCTAGGTTTGTGTCTGGATCATTTGTGTTCTTATCCTGATGTGTGGTTATAACTCACCATTAGCTGATGAAGTTCTTATTGCAGCAGTCTATAAACAATCAATACTCCCCAACGTCTCTCTAGTCCACGGGCTGGCACCACGGGTTGAGTTAGGCGCTAAAAATAAGGGCTGAGCAGCAATTCCCCTCCCGCTACTGCGCCTTCCCTCAAGCCCCCAGCCCTCCCAGTGCCCCGGCCGAGGCGGCAGCAGGAGGCGGAGGGAGGCGCCTTCAGCGTCGTGACTGACGCGGCCCGCAGCCCACCAGGAGGGCGGAGGAGCCGGGGCTGTGCGCCCGGGTGCCCGGGCTGGCGCGGAGCGCCTATCAGCGGCGGCGGGAGGCGGTGAGTGACTGGTGGGCGGGGAGCGGAGCCTGGGCGTGTGCCGCTCGCCGCTGCCGGGGCTCGCCGAGCCGCCTCTGGTGCACACACACGTACATTGTCCGAGCGAGCTGCCGCCGCCGCCGCAGCGAGAGAGCGCCCCGGGGCTCGGTGCCAATGCGGGGTGGGCGCTGCAAGCCGGGAGCTTCTCCACCACCCCGGTGGAAAGTTCATCTTCGCCTGGGCCCGCCGCACCATTGATCCAGAGCGGCCGCCGCCGGGGAGGGAGGCAGGATCTGCGGCTCTGGCCGGGAGGGGGGATTTTTTTTGCCTTTTCCCTCCAAACTTTCTGTGCGCGCCTCCCGCAGAAGGCCTCCCGCCCCCGCCGAGGATTTGCCTCTTCCCCGTTTTCTGCCGTGCAAGGAAAGCCGCCGGGGCGGGCGTGAGCGCTGGTAAGTGCCCCCCGTCTCCTTCGCTTTGAGGGGCTTGGAGGTGGCGTTGCAGCCCCGGGAGTTGTTTTTGCGGCTGGTTGGTTTCCAAAGTACGGGCAGCGGCAGGAGGGGGGGGGTGGTCTCTGCCTGTGCCCCCTCCCTCCCACGCAACCCCCCCCGGGAATGCTCAGGGCGGCGGGCGTGCAGCAGGCACTGCAGTGGCACGGGCAGCGTGTCCCAGGGAGCATGTGTGCGCGGTAAGGACTGGTGGCTGCAACCGGGCATTGCAGAGCAGAGCTGGCTTTCCTGGGCAGCAGGCGGCGGCTGCTTTCGCTGCTCGGGGGGTCGCTCGCTGGAGCTCCGTTGATCCTGCACCAGATTTGATACTAGGCTCCAAAGTGAGCTGGGAGGATCAACCCACCCCTCTTCGGAGTCGGAAAGCGGATGCCTTTGATAAAAGTGTGTGTGTGGGGGATGGGGGGGGAGATGGTCCGTGCGTGCCTGCCTGGATGCATCAGTTTGGGAGGGAGGGAGCACTTGTATAGGGAGGAGGACGAGGGGGTACGTGTGTTCAGGGCTATGCTTGTGAGGGGGCAGCAGCAATGGGAGGGGTTACATCTGTTGCGGAGAAGGGAGACAACAGTGGGTTGTGTCTGGGAAGGGGCCTCTGGGTTGGGGTGGAAGAGTAGCTTTGGCCTTGGGTGTGTCAGGGGCTGCACCTGGGGGGAAGAAGGTAGTGAGGGGAGAGGGGGTAGCCACCTGTTGGTGGGGCAGGCTGCAGTTTTTCTTCCCATGATTCTCTGATCATTTGAAAATTTGTTCCCTCTCCATCCTCCAAAAGCTTTCACTCTTCCCCTTGATTTTCAGACCCTCTTGTGAAAATCAGACCCCAGCAGCCTGCTTAGAGGCCACTGGGTGGTCCTCATACCTCCAGATTTAAAAGCCTCTGTGCTAGCAGAGGGAGATGGTGGCATTCATGTATGTGTGTGACTAGGCTGTTTGACAATGGTATAGATTTCTCCTCATGTATGTCCCAGCCCAGCTGCCCTCTCTCAGCTGTGGCACTCCACCTCCCTCTGCACCTTGTGCACCAGGGAGGCAGTGGCAATAGGATCTCAGGGCAGCTGCTGATGACTTGTGCGCTTTCTTCCTGTCCGTTTCTTTTCCCTCCCCAAAATGTGACAGGGCTTCCAGATGGGAAAGGAAGGGATGGGGGAGAATCACCTGCTGGCCTGCCCTCCCAGTCTTACAATGACTCTGCTTTCTGTAAACACTTCCTGCCAGTCCAGAAAACATGGGGAAATAAATGGGAGGGGCCCTGCATCCTCCAGGAGAATACCACAGTCTGCTGTCACGTTTCTCTTGCCTATTTTTTTTCCTGCCTCTCTCGTTTTTCATCTTTCCCAGATCCCTTGGTATCACTATACTGATGCCTACAGTGATATCACTATCAGCAGCAGCTTTAGGGAGTGGTCTATGATGATAGCACAGCAAGACTTCTGATAGCTGAGCCTGGGGTGGCCACTGTTCTTTCAGTCATCATGTGCCATTGAATTGGTGCAGTAATAATAATGCCTCTGAGTGCCTTTCGTTCCAGAGGGTCCTGCAACCCGTTACAAGGCAGGGGCTAATACAGAGGGTGGGGTGGGGGACAGAAGAGAGGAGTCTCTCTAGGATTCTTCCGCCTTCCAGGGTGCGTCTTGCTTTCTAGTCTCAAGTATTATACTGTGGCCACACACAGGTAGAGGAGGGATGGACACAGCTCCCAGTGCAGTGTCACTTAAGCATAATGCCAGGAAAACACTTTCACCCTTCTGTAGTGCCAGGGTGAGGCTTGCTGTCTCTGCAATTGGGAGGGAAAGCCAAATGGAAGTCCGAGCTGGGATTAGCAAACTCTGAGTGGCTGATGGTCAGCTCTTGTAATGCCTTGTACAGCGTTGTACATCATAGTGGGGCACACGCTGGGGTACTGAGGCTGAGATTTTCAAAGAAGCCTAAGGGAATTAGGTGCTGAACTCTCTTAGATCTGGCTTACACTCTCAGTTGTCCACTACAGGTGTGCTTTTAAACGGACTTAAACAGGCACAAACATTTGAGTGGATACACTCTTTGTATTGGGCTAGGGTGAGCAGATGTCCCGATTTTATAGGGACCGTCCTGATTTTAGGGTCTTTTTCTTGTATAGGCTCCTATTATCCCCCACCCCGTCCCGATTTTTCACATTTGCTGTCTGGTCACCCTATATTGGGCTGAGCTTGTCTTATATCAATTTAGCTCGCGTTGGTAAATTTTACAGGTGTGAGCAAAATTGATATAACCTGTTTTAAACTGATAGAAGCATGTCCACAAGGGGTCTGCCCTGGTGTAATGAAAGAGTTATTAAAGGAGCCTTAGGCCCCTTTGAAAACCACAGCCTAAATGCACAAAATAAGCAAGAAAATTACAGGCCCAAGCGGGGACTGGCTGGCTCCAGGGGTTGGTGTTGAGATGCACAGATCCTTTATATGTCTAAGACCTTGTCTACACAGGGGTTTTAGCCAATGATGTTGCACAGCTTCAACATCCCCACCCCGGCAGAGATACATTGCACTTGTGTAAACAATGACTTGCATTGGTGCAGCATATGAGGTCATAGAGTTTAAGGCCAGAAGGGAACACTAGATCATCTAGTCTGACCTGTATATCACAGGCCACCAGCATCCACCCACTAAACCTAACAACTGAAACTAGACCAAAGCATTACAGTCCATAGGACACGACTATATTAAGGCAGAGAATAGGAGAGATTGAGGTGACCAGTGCCAGAGGCCTCTACAATGTCAGGGAATTGACTAAGAGAGAGAGAGACCCAGTTAATCCTGGCAAGTGATTTGCATCTTATACTGCGGGGGAAGGGGGGGAACCCCCAAGGTCACTGCCAATCTGACCCGGGGGAAAATACCTTCCTGACTCTACATGTGGCAATCAGTTAGACCCTGAGCATGTCAGCAATAACCAACCAGTTAAGCATGTGACCAAGGGAATGCTCAGTGCCACCCCAGAGGTCTGGCCCACCCAGTCAAATGTCCTATCTCTTGATGAGGCCATCTCTGATGCCTCAGAGGAAGGAGACCAAACTGCTACCTACTTCCAAGAATACACGGGGTGGGGTGGGCGGAGGAGGAGAATCCCTTCCTGACCAGGGTGGATTGATTTAACTCCCCAAGTGGAAAGTCTTGATTTAAATTATCAATTTTAATCAACTTTTCCATTTCGACTTCATTTATGTTCTAAAGAAAGATTCATTCTCATTGGTGGATATCACTATTAAAACATGTTGATTTACAACTAAATAGAGTCTTTACACTAGATTTGGTAAGTCTTTTTGCTATCTAGGGAGGTACACTATAACTACGCTTATTTAAGCAAGTACGTACCTTTTATATTTTCAGATTCTTCATTGTACATTTTTAGTAAGTTAGAAAATGGTGAATGATATATTGCTTATTTACTAGATCATTAACTTTTTGCTTGTGATTTGTGTAGAGCTGCATTAGGATGGTCAATGGAATTTAATTGCACACAAAACAGCATATAAAATTTATTTCTATTAAAACAACCTTAAATGTTTTGAATACATTAACTTCTGTTATCAAAATGTGTTTCACATTTACAACTTATTTATTAAACAGAGGGACTGACTGTAGTCAGTAGATTAAACTGATCATTGCAGATCAGTCTGGGAAAATTTTCAAATATGCCTAAGTGAAAGTGACTGAAGCTTAAATTCCTGCTCACCTAATATGCATCCGAAGAAGTGGGCTGTAGTCCACGAAAGCTTATGCTCTAATAAATCTGTTAGTCTCTAAGGTGCCACAAGTACTCCTGTTCTTTCTGCTCACCTAAGTCTCTTGAAAATGAGTTTCCCAAGATACTTAGGCTGTCCTTCAGACTTTTAAAACTAGTAGATCTCATCCCCTTCCTCCTTGGTCTTTATTCATAGACTGGAAGAGAGAGACAAGTTTTCCTACTTTTTTTTCAACTCTGAATCAATTTCTCAACTTTGAATGAATTAGTCCAAATGAAGAAAATATTTTTCTGTGCCTGCAGAGAAGGCTACTGCTGTCAAAAGCTGGTTTAGCACTTCAAGAAACTCTGATTCCAGGTGCTTAGCTAATAACTTCCACCAGTTCAGTCGTGTGACTTTCTTTAAAACCTCAGCAAGCATGACATGTACTGCTTGAATGTTTCACATCCAGCCCTGAAATTTATTATGGTTGGCACAATTGATGGGTGATTGGATGCCCATGTCATAGCAGCAGCTTCTTCAGCAGTTAGACATCTATCCTGATGCTTTGGGTTGAGAATATTGGCAAGAAAATGAGGTGGAGTAAGTGCTCGATCCATGACCATCTGCTGCTTTGCTGCTTGCTATTTAACTTTGTTGTTGGGTAGTTTTTTTCTCCAGTACCTTTTGAACTTCTTTCCAGATTTAAAAATCATCAGCAATACAGCAGCAGTCTTTCTGCAGTTTGTCCAAGGCTATGGAAATATGCTGAAACCTATCTTCTACTTAATCCTGACCCTGGCAGGTGACTGCCTGAACCATAAATCAGGAGGGACCATCAGGGTTGCCAAGCCCTGCCCCCACCATCACAAACAACCGCATCATACTAATCCAATCATAAATTTGTCCAGCTCTCTTGAAACTCATTAAGTTGAATCAGCAGGTCCAATCTAGTCTGGGTCAATGGTAAATAACCAGTCTGATGGCTTTTCATTGGTCTAGCTATCTTACGTACTTGTATAGTCCCCATTACTGCAGTCCCTCACTGTCTTTTAATGTATTTATCCTCACAGCCTCTCTGTTATCCCTGTTTTACATGTGGGGAACTGAGACACAGAGTGGCTAAGGCCCAAATCCTCAAAGGTATTTTGACTCCTAATTTCCATTGAAATACCATAGCTCTCTAAATCTGAGTCTAAGTGATATGCTCAAGGTCACCCACTAAGTCTTTGGTGGATCAGGACTTGAAATGCAGTCTCTCCGGGGTCCAAGGGCTACTGCCTTTAACCACTGGACTGTCCTCCTCTGTTCATCAAAGATCTTCTCCATCCTGTTCCTAAAAGACAAACTTTTCTATGGCAGAAGCACCAGCACAACTGCTGCTAAAATTGATACCCTTGCTCACAGTTTCATTAGAGAGGCCAAGGACTGGCTGGGCCTGGAGAATGAATTTCCTTTTCCTAGAGGAAGTTCCTCCATGTC